GATCGCGTTGGTGGTGCCATTCTGTTAAGTGATGTGTATTGTTGATATTATTGTTGATCGCGAAAATTTAATTTCGGTGTTTTTGGTCCGTGCGTAGAGAGTAGTGTCAACCACTGTTGGAACTGTCAAGGTTGCTTAGTCAGCCGACTAGACGCGCGGCTAGCCAAACAGCATATAGTAGTTCGTCTCTCTTTTAACCTCGAGACGCAAATGATCAAGGACTTAGGTATGTCGGAAATTATATATCTTAGACTAGAGTAGCCTGCAGTTTGCTAAGTAGTACAGAAAACGCTTGTCAGCCCCTTGCATCCTCCATTATTGAATTCGGAGCTTTCAAGCTTTGTAATCTTGCTGACAACATTGGACCCTGATATTTTCTGAGTGTGTAGACGAGGAGATACGCAGGTAAGCACTAACAAAGTCGTGTCTAACTTGACACCTTTGATCGTGATCCGAGGTACACGACATTAAATACTCGTCGTTCTCAGAGCTATTATTCTGAGGGCTGTCAACCGACACGATCATCACCCAGAGCTCCGCAGGGCCGTTCCAAAGGAGTTCGTCGAGATCTACTGCTCATGAAACAGCACAACATCAATGCGCTTCGATGCTCACATTGTCCTTCATCTCCTGAGTTGTATGATATGGCTGATGAACTTGGACTGTATGTTATGGACGAAGCAGACTTAGAAGGTCATGGCTTCTACGACGCGGTTGCTCGATCCAAGGCAATACCAGAAAGCATGCCCTACGAAGAACAGAAGCTATTGACATTTGGCGAAGCAGCAAAATTCACCTTAGACGACCCAACGTGGAATGCTGCTTACGTCGAGAGAATGCGGCAGCTGGTTCACCGGGACAAGAATCACCCCAGCGTGATTATTGGAGTCTCGGAACCGAGGCCTTCCATGGCCAAAACCATCAAGCTATGTACGATTGGGCGAAATTGGAAGACCCAACCCGGCCAGTACATTGTGAAGGCGATGCCAAAGCGATCACTGCGGACATGTTCAGTTATATGTACCTGCCAATACCAGACATGATCCACAAGGCACTCGAAGAAGGAGATAACTTCAAAAAGCCAATTGTCCTTTGCGAATATGCTCGCTCTGACTTTAGCTTGATGAATGATGATTTCGTGTTCAAATTTGACAAGATATCCGCTCAGATCACGAAGTGGTCGATCAGAGGAAATGATATCCTTGATGAGACGAATGGGCCTCAACTGACGTTCTGGCGAGCACCTACAGACAACGATGTTCCTCACGACGCAGAGGTGTGGAAGCTGTCCGGGCCGGATTGCTTGAAACAACAAGACAACAGGTGCGATCAGTGCAGTGCAGCCAGAAACCATCTAGTACTGCCACAATAGTGGTACAAAGCTGGATCAGCCCTCCGGTACTTGCGTGGGGATTTGACACAACGACTACATATACCATCCATGGAGACGGCGAACTCAGAGTTCACATTCTTGCCAATCCACGAGGTCCGATGCCAGAGACCCTTCCCCGCTTCGGCCTAGAAATGGATTTGGACAATTCCTTGCAGGCTGCTAAATGATTCGGTCGTGGACCAGGAGAAAGCTACAACGACAAGAAAGAAGCTACGAAAACTGGAGTCTGGTCCAGCAACGTAGACGAATTGATAACGAAGTACGAATTTCCGCAAGAGAATGGCAATAGAACAGATACTCGATGGGTTCAGCTCACAAACAACAAAGGATTTGGGATTCAGGCGGTACTTAAGTTCGAGAAACCAGCACGACAAGTCGGTTTCGATCTCAATTTGCAAAGATGCTCGGCGCACGAGTTGGCGAAGGCGAAGCATCCGCATAAGTTAAGAAGGAGCGATAGATTTATCTTCCGTATCGACAGAGCTCACCAAGGTCTTGGTACTGCCAGTTGCGGTTCAGGGACGATGGCGCAGCATCAGCTGCCTTTCCAGATGATTGATTTTACTGTGGATCTTGTTCGAATCGGCCTATAATCTACACATAGATATATAAAATCTGATCATGTTTTGTTGCAAGTAAGGACTTGTCACTCCCGAGTAATCGACCGCAAGCAGAATGTTCCGAGGCAAGATCCGAGACTCAAGGCGGCAAATGTAACATCAGTCCTCGTGACGCTCATTCGGGGATGTTCGCGGATACACACAATCCGGCTAAACAAGCTTCAAATCCCCTCGTTTCCCTTTCCAATCAAGGCCCACGTGCAACCAGACAAGGATATCTCGGCATTCACGATCTATCTCAGGCACATCCCGCCGATATACACAAGGATGTCATATAAAATTGCGGGGTCCCTCGAATCTCAAAGTCTACTATGAGATCTGATCTATCAATCATGTTTTAAACTAGTGTTGAACGCATGATCGTCGTTGCTATAGTTCGTTCAACGGTCCATCCAGTCTTGGGGCTCTCGGGGCAGAATCACCAAGTTAAGATGCTGTTTGGTTAATGGAGCGGATAAACGATGGGTGGGTCTTTGGTAGCTTTCGGTAGGTATTGTTGTTCTTCCATGTTATCCATATATAAGATGACGAGATGTCTTCTCATCGCTCTAGCAGATGCTATTTCCTCAATTGAGCACACACGATGCGTCTCAATCTTCCCAGCATCATCGTCCTCACCTGGGGAGTTGTCGGTGGCCTCTGCGCATGGCCAAATGGACCACTCGTCACGTCTGGGCGATGGATCCATAATTCCCTAGGCCAGAATGTCACGTACGCTGGTGTCAATTGGCCAGGTGCGGCAGATGTTATGATACCTGAAGGCTTGCAATATGCCTCTATCGCTTCCATCGTTTCTGGGATCAAGAGTTTGGGAATGAACGCTATTCGACTTACGTTCGCCATTGAGATGATCGACGATATCTATAATGGAGGAGACGTTACGCTTGCGACTGCTTTCAATAAAGCGCTGGGAACGACGAATGGTCCCGTCGTGTATAACAAAGTGTTGAAGAACAATCCCTCGTTCTCGGCGAGCACTACTAGATTGCAGGTTGGTTGTAAGCCCCTATTTATTTTGCAGAGTGTGCTGAAAATAATGGCAGGTCTACGATGCAATTGCCGCCGAATGCCTGAAGCAGGAAATATACGTCCATCTCGATAATCACATGTCAAAAGGAGGTTGGTGTTGCTCGACCACAGACGGAAATGCATGGTTCGGAGACACATATTTCAACGTCGCAAATTGGAAGCGTGGGTTGGAATACATGGTCACTCACGTTCGTCTCCCTCTTCCCCCCTCATCCTCAAATACTGACCAAGTAGGGCAAATCATGGGGAAACCTGATGTCCATCGGAATGCGAAACGAACTCAGGACACCTTCTGACAACACCACGCTAACTAACAACTACTATAATTGGGACAACTGGTACACTAACATGGTCGCCGCCTCGAAAATAATCAACACCGCGAACTCCAACATCCTAATCTTCTTCTCCGGCCTCAACTTCGACACGACTCTCACGCCTATCGTCGCGGGCACCAATCTCGGCTCCTCCGTTTATTTCAACAAAACCTCCTTCCCGTACTGGGATAAAATGGTCCTCGAGCTGCACGACTACGAAAATTCGGTGTCAAGCTGCAGCACGCTGCAAAGTGATCTAACGGGGAACGGATTCAGCACTCTTAGCGGAACACAGACGAACACGATGCCGATGGTGGTCACGGAATGGGGACACGATCAGACGGATGGGAGCTATACGGGGGTCTATGCGAGTTGTTTGCATAGCTATCTGCCGGCTCAGCATGTGGGGTGGATGATTTGGGTTTTGGCGGGGAGTTATTATATTCGGTCTGGGACGCAGGATTATGATGAGACGTGGGGTGAGTTTTCTTTGCAGGTGATGATGAGTAGATGCTGACGTTCTTTGAAATAGGTCTTTATAACCACAATTGGTCGGCTTGGAGATCAACGGCTGCGGTTGCGAATTTGCAGAGTATGGTTTCTGCGACGTTGGCTTCTTGAACAGAAGAAAGTACTGTTTCTCCGTCGTCATATGAGCAATTTCAGATCCTCAGTGCATGTTTGAACTGCTACGTTGGATTTAGAGAGTGTATGTTTAGAGTAAGTACAGATGGTGCGCAAAACAGCTCGTGCTAGCCATGAATCTTTCATGCTGCGAATTTTCTCTTTTCACCAAAATAAAATTCCCTCTCACTCAACCAAACGACAAATATTCAATTACTCTCCAGCGTACTAAAGATGGTTCGCCAAGAGTACATTCTGGTTGGCGATGTGATCTTCTTTGCAGATGGAGAGAAGAATACAATAGAAGAAATCGAAGATGGAATGGACGCTGAGAGCGCAAACAGCGCGAGCAGCGCAGACTGCGCCAAACGCGCGGAAAGCGCAAATAGCGCGCGCTGGTTTTCACCAAGTCCAAACAATAACTTGAGCATTCCAATAATTTTCGTAACACGCACCACAGTAAATTACCGGGAGCATCGATAGGCTTTTCGCAAGCGTATCATTTTCACTGAACGCAAGGCTGCATCTTCTGAGGATTTGACCCCCTTATCCGAAGCGAACCCCTGGCTTTTAGCGAGTCTACTTTGAAAAGGATCTACCTCTACGAGAACATTCATTTCATTGCGATCGAGTTTCAGATGTCGATTTCTGTGCTACTTACTCGGAAGTAAGTAGCGGGGCTGTGGGATTACGGTCGCGATTTCCATTCGATCATACATGAAACATTCAAAATTGAGTAGATGTATATTCATTCTTTATTCATTCAAACCTCATCTAGCTCGCGCTAGCTAACCTACCTTCCTCGTCTCTATTCTCTCTCTCTCTACTTCATCGCGTCCCCTCAAATTCACCTCTCTCCCTAATCCTCGCAACCGTAGCATTCAACTCCATCAACGCAAGCTTCAGCTTCGACACTGTTACATCCGTCGCTTTCCGCTTCTTCTCGCACCTCTCGCACAAAGCTTGCACGGTAATTGTATGCAGCGGATGCGAGTTCATCGTGTCACAGGAATAGCTGGTGAGGTGCGCGTTGTAGTCTTTTTGCCTTTGGCAGGGGGAGGCTTGGGTGCCCCAGGCGAAGTGGTTGCAGGCAAAGATGACGCGTTTGTGGTTGCACATTTTGAGGGAGTTTGTGGTGTTGTGGTGTTGGGTTTTGTAGTGTTGTGATGTTTTACTGTAAGTGAGTTGTTGGCGGATGGTATACGGAGGAGAGTCCTGGGGTTTTGAAGTGTATGGATGTAGGTGCGGTGATGGGATTGTTTCACGTTGTGCCTTTGTTGCCATTGTTCGTATTGTAGTAATTTCTTTGTGGATTTCCTTCAAAACCGAGCTTTATTAGACTAGCAAGGTCTTCTTATTTCTTTGTTCTGATCGATCTTTCATGACAGATCTAGAGCTTTAAGTACACATTCTGGATAATTTGTCGAGTACAGTACAGTCCATGGATGATGGAATACTTTATGTGATAATACAAAGAAAGGGCACAATGGATTGTTACATGAAGTTATCAGACAGCGATCAGTCAAGACCTCGGTAGCTCATTTAATTGTAAAGCCTGCAAGTACCTAGTTAAGCAGAGATAAAAGCCAGCACGTGATTGCGAAAACTTCCGAATTCTTCACCAGAAACAAAAATGTACAATATGTTAGCAAGTTACCGGATGAGTTCAAGCAACCCTTCTAAGCCATTGTTTACGCCGATATTTCTCGACCCTGACACATCTATGGGTCTTCAAGGACAGTGATTCTCCTATATCTGCGCACCGAATCATTCTTGTCTCCAAAGTATCGAGTGGACTTGAAGCTGTGAAATCGAAAATTAGCAAACTGACGCATAAATGCCGAACAATACACTTACTGCCAGTTCAGACTTGCAGTCATTACATTCTGAATTGCGATCATGTACAACTGAAGCTGTGCATCAATAGCTTCGCCATATTGCAGAAGCTCAGCTTGGGCGAGGTACCAGTCGCGATAACAATGCTTCAACATCTCTCCAGCTTGATCGAATGCATCTTGAATTGACATGCCATTCGTCCGGAAGACAGTTACGAGGTTATGAGGTACCCCTTCTTCCTACAATCCCATTAGTTGAAGTTGAAGCTCGAGAAAGTGAGACTCTACCTGTTCCTTCGCGTACGACAGAATGTCGTTTTGGCTACTCTCTTGTGAGCTCAGCTTCCATGGTGCAATTGATCGGGGACTTACATCAAGACCACGTCGATTCCGATTCTCCTCAATTCCCGCATAGCTGTGCTATTGTAAATGTTTTCTGGAATTTTGATATTGTGTGCATATCTCTCTGGAGGTCAGCTCTAGAATCTATCACAGGGGTTACTCACTCCATCAGTGCGAAGACTGGCAATACACCAACCCCTCGTCTGCGAACCGCCATGTATTCTTCCAGACTCGGAATCTTGTGTTGGAAGAAGTGACCAACATGCGCGATGATTCCTTCGCAGTAAAGCTCCATTGCGACTGCGAATCTCTGCTGTACGTCTATGAGAAAGTTGAGTCAGCGGAGATTGAAGTCAAATCAGCAATTGAACATCATACACGGTTGAGATGACTGTATCATGTTAATTGATATATTTGATACCGGTAATGAACACACCTTGACAACACGTTCCCAAATAGTATCATGTATTTCCACCAAAACCGTCTTCTCAGAGTGTGTGTCTGCCTGCGTGCGGCAGTCACGCATCACTGACAGAAGACTGTTCAACACTTGCCGACCTATGATCTCATCCGATCTCAAATCTCCATTATCGAACGCTGTCATGTTAGGTATACATGACATTCAATGCTTGCTTGCAGAAGACTCACTGTCATCGAATGGAAACACCTACAAGGCAAGACTTGTCAGCAAATGTCCCTCTGCAGGTAGTCATACAGGAGAAAGCAAACTTGGATCAACACATTGTCCTGTGTAGGATGGGAATTTGGGATAAAATGGTCCCAGGGAGACATCCACATAACGGCATCGAACCTCTGTGACCTGTCCTTGAGAGCACAGCGAGCACTTGAGCAGGCTTAGTGAGAGATGGAATAGGCTTACCCAGTTTCCCCAGTCACACAGAGTCCTTAACTCCTCTTTGTTGGCTTCCGGGGCCGCAATAGAACAGAACCAGGCGAAGTCGAGCTTTTGGATCTTTCTAGACACATTCCGATTCGCTCCTAGTTTCCTTTCGATCATTAGGTATTGACGGAAAAATAAGATAGAAAGACAAGACTTACTCAGAAAACCATGCCTCTGATTCCGCCTTGACCTTCAAGTACAGTGGATTGACTCGTGGAGGAAGTGACAGAAACGAGGAGAATAAATCAGGAATCACGACACTGACTTTGCCTGGTGGAGCTTCAACGGCAAAATGCCAGTCAGACTGATCAGGATTCTGAAGGTCGAGCATCATTGGGCTTGTCTTGCTTGATGTCAGTTGTTGCGTTCGATACTATGATTCTGATTTGTGTTTCGTGTTGTGTGATAGTGACTGGGGTCTCATGAAATACAGACAATAGGGCAAGTACGATACAATCAAGTGTGGCAGCCTAGTGCCTACCGGTGCCGGCCACTCTAGAAGTCGTACGATGTGACAGATTCTAGGGGGCGATATCGGTGAATGCAGTAGGTTAGTCGGTGTTGTGGTCCTTCCCTTCTGAGTTACAAAAAAGTCACATGCTCGACTTTTCCCAAAGTTTGATTGGCAGCGTTTGGAAGAACACTGGAAACAACACCTTTTCCCTTCATAAACTTCGAGCACACGTCTCGAAGTATACATCATCAAAGAATAGCACCCTTCTCCAACCAGCAGAATGTCCACAAGCAGCAAGATTAATGCCAACCATCGCAAGAGGTGGGGTTATTCTTTTCAGTGGACTGATGAGCATCTTTCTCGAGAAGAGATTGATCGACTAAGATCCAACTATGACGATCTTGGCTCAAACGCACTTGAGAAGTTCCAAGCCATCGTTGCTGAAACCAAGGTTGAGCACCTCGCAGGAGCTCCTTCACCTGCCAAGCCGGATCTCTACACTGTACTCAAGAACAATTATGAAGATAATGGTATTCTAGAAGAGTTCTGGAATGAACTTCACTCTGTCCCCGACTTCGTTGATTGGAAGCAAATCGAACGTGCTCAAAGTTTCTTTGCTCGATATGCTGTAGCCAACAGCACTGCCTTTGCACTACAAGGCTTCATTCGGGAGAACTCTGTAGGTCTTCATGGACTCCATGTTCTAGGTTCAGTCATGCTGACGAACACTGTAGGCCTCGCCAGGTATCGCCGAAGTGTTCGCTCGAACTGGCGGCTTTTCCATCAAGAACTTGCTGTCTCGTGTCATTGAGACCTTCACTTGGCTCATTCAAGTCACCTACTCCCTTGAGTCGATCCAACCTGGAGGAGAGGGTCACACTTCTACCATCCGAGTTCGTCTTCTTCATGCCTCAGTTCGCCAACGAATCCTCAAATTGGCACGCTCCCGATCAGAATACTTCCCAATTGAGAAATACGGTGCGCCAGTGAACGATCTCGACAGCCTCCATGCCATCAGTCTATTTTGTTGCAGTCCGATGTGGGATGGCTTCCCCAAGGTGGGAATCTATCCCAACAAGCAAGAGATCGAAGACTTTATTGCTCTGTTCCGCTATGTCGCTTACCTCACTGGTACGCCAACCGAGTATTGGGAGACGCCTGAGAAGGCCAAGGCCGTCATGGAGACCATGCTACTTTATGAGCTCGATCCAAACAAGACCTCAAAGATCCTCGCCCACAACTTCATCAAGTGGCTCGAAGACCAACCACCAGCGTACCTCTCACGGTCTTTCATGGAAGCAGGCTGCCGGTGGATGAACGGACACGCAATGTGCGATGCCCTGGGACTTGGTAGACCTAGTTTGTACTATTACCTCGTTTTCGCTGGGCACAATGTCATTGTTGCTTCCTTGGCTTATAGCCAGAAGTTAATTCCAGCCTTGGATGGATTCATGATTCGAGTCAGTCTTCGCGTCTTTGCTCGAGGCTGGATGATTGCTTACCATTGTTGATAGTACTTTAGAAAGACACTTTATGATGCTGTTACGGACAATGCTGGTCTGGCAGGTGGCAATGGTCCTTTCGATTTCAAGTTCGTAAGTGTTATCTTCTTGTTGAGCTTTTGATGATGTAGATCACTGAACCTTAAATCTGTAGGTCCCGGATCTTGAGCAGAAGTTTGGCAAGGAAGTAGGTCTGTTGGAAGGCCGAGGACGTAAGAAGCTCCCTCGACCAGTGGAACATGTCTTTTTTGGAGCTTTCTTATTTGCGTGTTTGGTGGGTATGTTGCTCATTTTCGCCGGAGTGAAGTTGTTCTTGAGTTTGTCTGGCAACTAGTCGAAATTGCGCTCATGGGCTGTGGCCATACTTTAGCCGTAAGCTGTGATGTTGCGAGATTTTTGGGGGGCTTTGGCGTTGGCTTGGAACACTGGGAATATCCCAAAGGACAGTGAAGACTGAAAAGTAATTGCTTTAAAATCAAATGCGTAGCTAGTTGGCAAATAATCAATCTTATTGCTCTAGGTCGAATAGTCTCCAAGGGTAAACATTTGGAAATATTGATCAGAGTCACGATGATTTTGGAGAACAATCGCTCAGCTAAAACTCCACTCGTAGGCTGGAGAGCTAACGTGAAAATCAAAATTGAATGAAAAATAATAGAATACAGGATGGCTCGATCTCAGAAGAAGTTCCCAAGCGTGACTCTATACAGCCGTTGGTACCCGCTTTCCAGCACCCATCCCTTTTTCCTCATCTCTTCGGCCAAGAACTCTGCCTCATCAGCATCAATCTTTGCTTTCCCGCCATGAAGATCTGCCTCCTCTGGTGATACTGTGTTGGATTTCATGACGACTTTATACCCAAATATCATGATGATATAGAGAGGTATCGGAAGGTAGCTGACAATGAACGTTCTCCAATCGAACAAGCCTGTTGAAGGATCGTGCACGAAAGTAGCCCAGCCGTTGAACAGCGTAATAGTGCAGGCGAATACGAGTGCGATCTTCGACCCGAGGGCTCCGAACGGAGACACGAACGTCAAAGCTGAATCGGGAATATCCTGTGCTTTACGAGCTCGGACAAAATAGATATGTGTGACAAGAATTGATATCCAGGTCAGTATGCCAAAGACAGTGACGAGGGTGACGAAGTATTGAAAGGTCTTGAATGAACCGACGTCGGTACTGATGAATGCGATGAGGCAGAACGCGCTGGAGAGTGCTAGGGCGTAGACGGGGATGCCTTTGTTGTCAGTTCGTGAAAATATTCTCGGCGCATTGCCTTCGACAGCGAGGGAGTAGAGAGTTCGAGTTGCGATGTAGACTTTGACATTTTAGTTTGTGCCATGCTAGTCTACAGAAATATGAAAAACGGACGAAAGGATTGAGCGCCCACGACCAAGGCGAAGAGGAAAATTAAGGGACTACTTACGATCTGAGTTTGCAGCAGAGAAAGTGAAGACGAGCAGAAACGCATTAATGACACCGGGAATTCCGTTGACAGAAGCAATTTGAGCTGCAACGACAAATGGACTAGCGTCTCCAGATACTGTTGTGTTGCTCTTACTGTTTGCTGTCAATAAGAGCGAACTGTCGTACGGAACTGTCATGCCGAGCAACAATATCAAAACCAGATAAAAGAACACTATGCGGAAGAATGTGAGTTTTACTGCTGCAGGTATAGCCTTACGAGGATTCGAAGCTTCAGCTGCACAGATGCCAACGAGTTCCGCACCAAGAAAGGAGAAGACAGCGTTCGTCAAAACATTCCAGAATCCGAGAAATTTTCCGCCACTACCCGCTGAATCGAATTGTCAGAGAGAGAGAGTCTAAAGACTAGTTAAATAAGCTTACCTGCTTTATAAGCCTTGAATGCTCCGGGATCTTTCCAGTACTTGAAGCCAGTTGCTTGATGATCCGGCCCGCCTCCTGCGGCAAGAACAAGGCAGAAAATGACAAGTGCAATCATGATGAGAACCTTGGCGCTAGACAGCCAGAACTCAAACTCTCCAAAGAACCGTACGCCGAAGTAATTGATAGCGATGATTGTTGCGAGAAGGATTGTAATGTATATGGCAGGTTTAGATCCTGGGCCGTCGTATCCCGCTTTATCAAACCAGTATCCGATTACCAGGGTCGCTGCTATGAGGTTATTCGGAGTCGTAATGATATACTGACAAGTGTTAGCATACAATCAGTCATTTGTGAAAGTAGACTGACTTTAAACCAATAATTCCATCCTTCACGCATCAGCATTTTGGTTCAAGTATTCTGGAATGATGCTCACCAAGAGCGAAACCAAGGGCTGGATCAACAAATCTATGCGCAAATCCCGTAAATCCCGAAGGTATTGGAAGCCAAGCAGCCATCTCTCCCTACTCTCTATAAGTAACTCTGTTATTTCGTATATGTGGACTCTTGCATACCATCGCACTCATAACCGCAAAGCATAAGACGCCCACCAAAGCATAACCTATTAGCATTGAGGCAGGGCCTGAACTGGCCAAAGTCGGTCCACTATCACAGTAAGCCAACAATTCACATATCGTACTGATAATATCTCACGTCTGGATAAGCAGGCCTGTCCCCAAAGCACCCCCAAGAGCAATCATAGCAATTTGTCTAGTTTTGAGATCTCGTCGCAGTCGTGAATTAGGATCTTCATCATAGATGTTCACGTTCTCATGAAATGCGTGCTTCTCAGAACCATCGTCTATCGCGCCTGGGTATTGGTGAACTTCCATTCCCTGATAGTCGTCGACATTTACCTCCATGCCCTGGTAAGGGGCCATCTCCAACCCATCGTCATAACCACGGGGTTGCACCATCTCTGGAAAAGTTGACGCGACAGAGTGATATCAGTGGGGAAGATTCGGACAAGAAAGTGAAATATTTCCAGCCTCGCAGCGGCACCGAGGGTATGTTGTACTCTCCATCTCCCACTACCGTTAAGGTTACGTGGTACGGCTGAGACTCGTGCCGTTCTGGGACATTGTACGCCATGTCCTCGGCGCCCAGTTTGCTATGGAACAAATCAGATAGAGTGAGGATGAAGGATGCGCCAATAAGACTTGGTACTGAGAAACGCCAATATCTCAGAACGCCCTGTGGCAGTGTACTAGACTGCAAAGGGCTGCATGAGACATTTTGAGCCACCACATGCAAGCGCGTGACATTTTACCGAGAACAGTTCAGACTCAGGATAACCATAAAAAAATACAAGACGAGGGGAACGGGCAGTGCATCCAAGGCGACAACTGCCTGTCGTCCTGATAGATGCTACCTGCTCCCTTTTCAGTTCTCAACTTTGGAAAAATGTGACAGAGCATTTAGCTGTCGAATATTGAATAAAATGGCTGTGCAAAATCAAGATGAGGTCCGACGACCTGCGTTTGCTCAAGAATGGGGAGTCTTGGGAGGCCCGAGATTCGACTCAGCCCAACCTGGAATCTTCACGCTTAGCCGCAATGGGCACCCAGCTGAAAAACACAACCACGTGAACAAGATATTGAGGTTTTAAAGATAAAGTCAACTTGCTTCTGTCAACGAAGTCGATAATTGCCAATGGTGATCGATCTTACATTATGAATATCTGGAAAAGAACGAGTCAAAAATTGAAGCGTGACTTTCACGTGATATGCCTACATCTCGAAACAAACACGCTGAATAACAAACTTCAAATAGTCCCTGGATCTGATTATTTGACTATCATATGCCTCCATCTTGGATCCAAGATGGAGTGACTGTCCGGCGCCAGGCGGATATGTAAGATCCTCTTCTCAACAGGGTCTCTATAATATGTCAAGAGGTACCTTATATTGCTCAGAAGTTCTGTTTCTGTTTCTGGACCGTTAATCTCGATCGGAGTTTTGGACATCATGCTCGCTGGATTAAGATCCGACTCAAGTTTTTTGACCTATTCCTTGGGCCTTCTTAGCTTCGCTTTGATGAACAGTCTTTCAAGAATATTGTTTCTCCTCTTCATACTAGAACAAATCCATCCTCGTTCGTTGCAGACTGATCCGTATTTGGGGATTTCTGCTCATTCTCGCTCTCTATATCAACCCAATCGTTGTCCTCTTGTACTGATGTCTGTTGTTCGCAGGTTTGTGCTGATGTCGATTTACAAGGAGTCAAGTTGTCTTCGGGTCTCAACCGTGTATCTTGGGCTTGTCGTCGATCCTCATCGCTAACGTGCTCTCCACTTGCCTTAGTACACGGAGATGCATTCATAGCTCGCTCAGAAGTTCGATTATCTTGCCGAAATGATCTCCCACATCGACCCTTCGATTTCTTCGTAGGCGCAGCACCCAATGCCAAGCTCTTAGAGACGTGTTTCTTCACAACAATCTCCTCTGGATGACTGCTACATAATCAGCAATCTTTCATCTCAGACCCGTGTTATGCACATACGTTTCAGGCCTCACCAATTGACGAGCAGTCCTCCACCACACACCGCTAGTTTTATAAGTCTCAGTTGCGGTCAGGTTGTGTCTATACATTCTAGCCGGCATGTTCTCGTATGCTTTGCCGATGAAGTTGTGGGACAGATCTGCGGTCGGGAATTTCAATTTTCGTCTTTAATTCCAGGCAAACCAATACCAGTAACCTGGTTCACCTTCATTTCGAAAGCGACTTTCGCCTGGTACTCGGGGAGCCTTCTTCTTCGGTTGTGGTTTGGGATTTGAATGTCTGACGCCTGGGTTGCGTTGTTGAGAGTATTGTCCCGCCATCTTGTGACTGATTGATTTTATTTCAATTATTTCTGAATTGAGAAATCAAAGTTGTGGGGAATTTACGGAGTATAAATGTTCCTTTAGTAGTCGAACTAAATTCGCGGCGATGCAGGTGAGTCATGCCGGTTGAAGATGACGATGCCCCTTTTTAAGCGAGGCTGTGTAGGGCTGAGCCGCCCTTTTTGTAGGCATGCACTCTTTGTGTCAATGGGAACCTAGAAAAAACGTCCCCGAGTCGTGTTGAAGCAAGAAGCGCCCTGATAGACAGTACGGTATCAAATGATTGAGACCCCCAACCCAGTCCTGATACGCTTTCCAGTCTTGACCTGCCACTTTCTCTTTGAGATATACATATCTTTTGGCTTTGAGGAAGAAAACCCTCAGACTCGAAGAACTGCTCCATACAGTTGTTGTGGGACTACCAATGCTATGAGTAAGCGTTATGGCCAATGTGGTACTTATGCTGACAGTGGAGAGATTTGATATACTTTGCGAGAAATATGAAGGAACTAGTTCGTGTGATGGACGTAAGAGTATATATACGCTGCAAGCAAGAACATATTCCTTTCAAAGGGTGATTATGATGCTGAATGACGAAGAGCACGCGCGAATTGAAGCTTCAATGATGTTGGTAGAGTTTGAACAGCTCTCCTCGCGCATCCAGGAATCTGAATCTAAATCTTTTGGCTTAGCAGTCGTCTAACTTTGGACAGTAATATGCCATGAAATATGGAAACATGCAGAAAACAAGATGACATGCTTTAGAGGAATGCGACCCCAGAAATTGCTTGTCTTTGTTCTTCAAAACAACTTCTTAGAGTTTTGTGCCGAGGACTCGAGGAGCTTTGTTCCAGTCAAAGCTAACAGGGAATTAACACGATGGCTCCTAGCCTTTGGTAGGTGCTACCATTCTTCAGAATCATCTGATGATAGTAAAGCTCGGTGAGAGATTGAGAACTGACACTAGTCTGTATATTCCGATCATTAATAGGTTGTAGAACTGAATGTAGTGGAACTAGGCGTGAAGGACGATTGGATCTGTAGAGATTGAGTATTCAGAAGGTCAACTCGAAATTTTGAAGGCTATGTTCTGGTGAGCTCCAACAGTGCTGGTACAGTTCCTCACATGTTCTATCATGTACAATAATATACAATGTCTCTCGACGAAGGTTATCGTCGACAGACCACAGCCTTGCATCTCCTCCATCCCAATGATTTCACCACATCCGCATTTCATCGACATCTTAACCAAGTCCAATATCGGCCACTAACCTTCCCTCAGCTCATCGATATTCTTGACTCTCAATTCGGCAATCTTCAATATCGTAAACTTATGCTTGCTCCTGACCGTCTTGACCTTCCTGTTCCTCCGCTTCGTCTTTTCCTTAATCCTCATCGGTTCTGCCTCCGTGCCAATAACTGTCGCCCTACATTGAAAGATCCGCTCGTCTAGATATGGTGTTCCCTTCAATGTATAGTCTCTTGATCCCAGGCTCGACGCTCGGTTCAGCCGTAAAACATCGCCCGGCACAACGCCCGGCATTTGGAAAGGTAATCGAACGCTGTCTCCTTTTCTGACAAGATATGGCTTCCCGTGGATGTGGATGCTTATATAATGTTCCGGTTGGACTGCAAGGAGTGGCAGCATCTCCTTAACAGATGCATCGAGTGTGAGAGGAGTTGCAATAGGAGGTGGTCGTAGAGGTACAGATCGGAGGAGCTGCTTCTTAATAGGGCTGGCAGTGGGTGTCGCAGGATTTGCAGATGCTGCTGGAGCTACAGCTGGAGGAATTGAAGATGAGTCGAGAGCAGGTTCGACATGCTGGGTGGTAGAATTGAAATATCGAGCGCGACACGGTAATAGGAACGTAGGTGGGAGTGACGAGGATGGTATATGGTCCGAGATGGACCGTTTTAGTGTCCTGCTGAGCATCTTGGAGTTTGGCAGAGAAATCTGCGAGCCCAATTCAATCATGAATTTGCAAGTCGTCGGACGGTTGAAGCTTTCGAATTGCAATTTAGCTAGTCCCAAAGTGCACTAGTGGATCAAGAGTTTCTCGATAAGATCTTATCAAATAAATTCTAACCCACCACGAATTTTATAAACGCTTCTCAAACCCCATAGGATTGCCCATCATGCCTCAAAATGAGTAAGAACTGCCCTAAACACTCTCCTGGTCTGATTCTGACGCTATGCAGGTACATGGAAAGGTGGAAGAAGCTGCATGGTCGCCGCCTCGACCACGAAGAGAGAGCAAGAAAGAAGGCGGCTCGAGAAGGTCATAAGGCTTCTGAGGATGCGCAAAAGCTTACGGGTCTCCGAGCGAAATTGTACCAGAAGAAGAGACATCATGAGAAGATACAGATGAAGAAGCAGATCAAGGCCCATGAAGAGCGAAACGTCAAATCATCTGCACCAGCAGAACCTTCAAGCACGCCTCTGCCTCAATATCTCCTCGATCGATCGAATCCTACAAACGCAAAAGCTCTGTCGAGTGCTATCAAGAACAAGCGCAATGAGAAGGCGGCCAAATTTTCGGTTCCATTGCCAAAGGTCCGAGGCATTGCGGAGGAGGAGATGTTTAAGGTGGTGAAGGTTTGTGCCCTGGATATATTGTGTGGAATGATCAAATGGCTAACGGTGCTCCAAGACCGGAAAGAAGACAGCGAAGAAGGGATGGAAAAGAATGATCACCAAGCCAACATTCGTGGGACCAGGTCAGCAACATAATTCAGATTCTTTACGTCCCCACACAACAGTACTAACTTGCCCTAGACTTCACACGACGACCTGTCAAATACGAACGATTCATTAGACCTATGGGACTTCGCTATAAGAAGGTATGAGGAATAGCTATTGCAGACGAACAGCACAACTTTCCACTACATTTCCGTGATATCTAACAACAAAATAGGCAAATGTGACGCACCCAGAACTAGGTGTAACCGTACAGTTGCCGATCATCTCAGTCAAAAAGAACCCCCAGAATGTGAGTGTGCAAGGCCTTTATTTGAGACGACGTCAACTGACTTACCATGTAGCCGATGTATACGCAACTTGGTGTCCTCACAAAAGGTAAGAGAGGTCAACACCAATACCTTTCTAGCGCGACGTCCAGATTCATGTTCCATCACTTGACCTCAATTTGTTACACCATCCCCTCTCTTCTGAATGATCTCAGAACCAAATGACTGACTCTCAAACTCTCAGGTACCATTATCGAAGTCAATGTCTCGGAACTTGGACTGGTTACTGCTGGTGGTAAAGTAGTCTGGGTAAGTCATGTTTGCTTTATGTTCAAGATTCAACCACTCCCAAAGTTTAATTTAGAAGATTAAGAGAGCTCCGAAACCAGAGATCTGCTTGGCATTAGACCGGCCCAAGTCTGCTTGTAAATACGTTCTTGATACTAATACTACGTAGGGACGGTGGGCCCAGATCACAAATAACTGTGAAAATGACGGCTGCGTGAATTGGTAAGTTTCCTGTGTCCTGTCACCCAGGAGAATCTAATCTTTCATAGTGTCTTGCTCGTCTAATTTTGCGTCGTCCCAGCTCGTCGCATTGCATGGAGTCTAGGCGTTTGGGTCTACAGAAAAGCAAAGGGAGGTATCTTGAGATGAGGAAAGGCACATGTATTTGATATAGAAGTCAAATCAAGACAAGCCCTTGAAGCATCAGCCGAATTGTGACAGTTGGGCGGAGTTGTCACGTGACATGTGCTACGATTGCTTAGAAGCAAGAATTGACGGATCATGATTGGCCGGCTCGTATTGGCGAAAAAGTGGAATTCGCCCCGCCAGCATGTCAACCATTCAAGACCAGGCAGCCATAGTAGTACCTCCGTAGGCTAGTGAATTCAACAACATAAAATCATCAAGCCATGTTTCGAGATATCAATTTTTGACATGTGTCGTTTTGAGACCAGAATAAGATTCTACCGATTATGTCAAACATTTCCGCAGCAGAAGAGCAAGCCATTGAAGCTATTGCTCCTAGAAAACTGCATCAAATATTTACACTACCAGCAACAGACAAAAATGAAGCGTTGAAAGTTACTTACTCAATCGCCGGTCCTGACATTGGAGAAGATGTGCCAACCATCTTTTTCTGTGGTGGCATGTTCGGGACAAGATATATGGCAATGTGGTACAATCTGTTTGCCGAGAAACAGAGAGTGAGGATTATATTTACAGACAGGTTAGTAGTGACCGATACATTGCGATTCATTGATTCTTGCGCTGGATAGAACCGGATTTGCACATGATTGACCTCTTCTGTCTTGTTCAGATTATCTGTAGCTCTAGCTAACAACCACTAAAGACCTGCATTCGGAGGCTCAACACCTGTACCAATCTCACAACGTATCTCCACATTCCTAGAGACCGTCCCAGCCCTTCTCAAGCATCTCAACATCTCACACATCCATCTCGCCTCCCACAGCGCAGGCACAACCTACGCTCTCAACCTCCTGTGGCATCGTCCCGATCTCCTCTCGCCTACCAACCCAACAGTCCACTTCTTCTCGCCATGGGTCCATCAATCCATCTCAGGAGTCTCGTTCCTCTCCGCTGCCGCCAAGCTCCCCGATCCCTTGCTGGATCATTGGAATGGTGTAACATCGTTCATCATTCAACGTGCAAGTCCCGCTTTTGCCAGCTCTTCTGGAGTACTGAACTCGTTTTCGGGGCTATTTAAGAAAAGCTCAATTGAAGCGGAGAAGAAGGCCGAAGAGGAGAGGAAATGTTTGGAATATTATGGGATGAGCTTAGAGGTTAAAGATCAGGTGTCCAAGAAAATATTCAAGTATGCATTTGCGGAGAACTCGAAAGGAGGGAATGATGAAGCGAGGTTGTGCATGAAGTCTGTAGAAGGTTGTCATTGGGATGCTTGTGAAGATTATGAGGAATTAGTTGGGAAGCTGAAGGATTTTTGGGCGAAGAAGGTGCAAGATGGAGGGAAGAAGTTGAAAGTCAAGATTATTCTTGGTGAAGAGGATATAATGATTGGTGCAAAGGGAAAGAGATATTGGGAGGCTTGTTGGACACAAGAACGATGTGGTGATGGAATAGAGGTGGATTCAAAAGAGTTGAAGGGTGGTGATCATGAAAGTGTGATTGACGCTACGAAAGGGCCATTTGCCGATATGTGTACTGTTGTAAAGGAAGGTGGGAATTAAAACGAGAAATGTTTAACATGATCATTTGCTATTTGAGTAGTGACGGTCATACTTCGAGACGTCAAAAATAATTAGCCATATCAAAGCTGCAGAGTATGATAGGAATCTCATCATGACGATCTTCTGTACTTGGCGGTATTTCAGCTTTTCAACCACAACTCGTCTCATTGTAACCTGTTTCGTAAATTCACCATGCATTAATCTCCAATATCAACTAGAGGAGGCACATTCTTGTTTCTGTTCAGCTTGGTGCTGAAGGCGCAAGGAAAGGGCAAGAAGCTGGAGTTGAGGAAGCCATCTCAGTGTGAACAGCCGAGGCCGTCTCCTCTGAGGTAGGGGTCTCTTCAGGTACCGATTCATGGGCCTTCGCTCCGGATTTTTCAACCACAGGAACGACAGGCCCAGTTACAGCAGCTTCATGTGTCATCTCGGGCGACGGGAACACCTTTTCGAAATCCTTTTTGGCTTCAAGAGGCGTGCTTTCCGGTTCGTCGGTTGGAGTTCCGCTTTCTGCATCATATCCTTCACCGTGAAGCTGTGTTGTAATGTCCTCGCCAGGCTTGGGAACATGGATCGTCCTGGTCACTTCCCCGGAGGGTGAGATCTGGCGGAACATTTCCAAAGGATCAAACCACGTCTCAACAGCTTGAAGGCGGACTTTATCGTCGACTTTGGCGATGGTAATGCCTTGGATATCGATTGGCCCGTCGTGAGCCTTAACAGTAACTTTCTCTCCCTTGCTGTGGAATTTTAGGGCGTGCAGAAAATCGGAGGGACATGACTCACTCATTATATCCAACATAGTCATTCTTCATTACTCCCCAATGTCGCCACTTGAAAGCAACAGTAGGTGGTCCACTGTACACTTCCAATACCTCCCAAGCAAAAGTCGGCATCATACGCTTGAAGGTCTTGTGGCTCGATGCAAAGTCTGACTTTGTTGGATCGTAGTAATCATTCGGTGTGATGATAGCATTGTATGTGCCCACTTTGAGCATGTGCTCCGCTGATTGAGGTGGTCCGCCGTTGATGGAAAATGTGTAGTTTGGTCGGTCAATTGTTCGCCAGTCATCAATTTCCGGTTTGAAAGATGCCTCTACCTCCCAATTCTTGACCAGGTTCTCCACTAAGTTTGGCAGACTGGCTGCTTCATGGCTTTTGGTCTTGGCTATTAAATGTCAGACAGCACAGTTCGTGAAAGGGGGGTAATTTGAGGAAATGTAAATGAATGCGCATGGAGAATTTCATCTGGAGCAATTTTTGGGATCAAACTTACTCGCTTCGTACACCTTTCGTGTGTTGGTGTAGTCTGGTGCTCGGCCATACCTCCATTTGGCGCTGTCGTCTTTCAGAGTGGCATTTGGGTCGAGGAGATAGTCAGGCAAACCAGGTGCCTTTGGCGGAGATACCTCTACGTCTGCAGCGGCCATGAAGAGAACGCTCAAGAAAAATTGATATTATAAATAGACCCAGTGTTCAGTTGAGACTACCTATACCGTTCACTTGGTAGTAAAATAAATACGATAGTTAATCAATTCAGGTATCCCAATGTACACAATGAAATCAAGACAAAAGTAGCTGGAACGAGATATGTATTTGGGAAAAGTCCTTGCCTTGCCACATAACGGCTCGCCTACTTGCATGAGACCGAACATGTGAAGGCGGTATTGAAGAGAGCGAGAATAGAAGCAGCTGCCCACTTAGATCATCTGCGCCTCGAAGGTGCAGCCAGGCTACTGATCTGTGAGACATTAGAGAGTGAGGAAAATCAGATGAATCTGTGCTCCTGTGCAATGGCAAGAATAATCCCTGACGCACGAGGTTCTCGATTCGACCCTGCGGGAGACGTGCAGAATGCGGACCCCAGATCCTTGTTGTGTAATTGGCGAACATGATCCTTTCATTTGTTGAAGGCTTGTACGGAGTCCTTCCGGCGGCCACCTTGTAAGATCTTGAATCTAGATTTAATATACGCATTTACTCTTGTGCATGGAGGCTGATTGTTAGCCAGTATCCGCTCTCAACGTTATCGGCTTCCACGAGCCATGGTTTTATACCAACGCTCTCTCCAGTACGTATACGAGCCCGATGCTGAGGGCTGAAAATAGCAGATACAGGACTATATCAAAAGCAAGTCGGAACAAGGTGATCAAAGAAAGAAGACCTGCTCCTTCTCCTGATAGACTGGGTACCAATCAGGGCTGAAATACATGCCTTTTAAAATCCACGACACGGATATATACATTCCGATAATTTATCATATCAGCTTGAGCAGAGACGGTAGAAACACAAGCAAGGCAAGGTATTTGCATCGTACTTGTGCAAGCTCGCTTCCAGATACTCTATGAGCGATCATAAATGTTTTGCAGCGGGAGACAGATCCAGTGAAGCAGGGGTTCACACTAGTCATGTTGCGTTTTCCGGCAAGCTAGGGCTATGCAACGAATCCTAACGCTGTATTGGTCGAGACTCAGACGGCTCGGCATAGTCAGATGCACGTCGACACATTCTAGACGTGCACTCTAACTGGATTCAGAAATTCAAGTATCATATTGCCTCTCGTGCAGAGCAGAATGAGAGCCTTCTCGAACTTTTGCAAGGAAAGGAGGTATCCTTATGCAAGTCTCGGATGCTGCCCGCACAGCACTCTCTCAACCTGCGGCATTCCTCATCTAGACCGGGCTGATCATAACACGATGTGAATTTTCATAGTAACTTTCTAACTTTCTGTTGCTCTCCCAGTCATCTGAGAGTTGTGACTGTGAAAGACGTCACATTAGAAGCAGAGATTGTAATAAGGAATCTCACAGATGTCAGGCTCTTTTTGGCAGCTGTGCCATACTAGAGGAGGGGCTTCTATCGACCTGACAATCGCATGGATCAGCTGGACTTAGCTTACAGTTGAGCAAGAGAACTGGAAGAGTACCAGAAGTGCTCATTGACGTATTTGGTACACCCCACCTCCAAATCTCCAGACATGGCTTGAAGACGATTAGGATGCGCAGGCTGATTCGAATGCATGCATCCACTTGGACCAGACTGGTAACACCACGCCTACAATCCAAAAGCCCATAAGTTTATTCTGCATCTGGACCGTTCAAGGTCATTGGGTGTCTGTCACTCTACGGCTGCAATGTAGTGCACAGTTCCGTGTCGGACAACATGAAAACGTCGTCGGCTATGTCCGTATACGACAGGATATGAATTCGAAAAGAAAGTCATTGTCTCTCACTGACACTTGCGCTTGGCGGACGGCTCTCCTCGATCCGTTGTATTGCCGTGAGAGGTGAAGGTGTACGGAAAATCCACAGGTTCGGACTCAAGGCAGAAAGTTGTTGATGCCTAAGGTTGGCGATCTTTGCAATACACCTTAGCATTACACAACCAGAAACAAACACTACTTCCACGACTCGAAACTTCCAAGATGCTGTTCTTCAGGTATGTGATCTTTGTCCGCATGTTATGCGACACACAAAAAGTACTCGAATGCTAACATTCGTCTCTCAAACAGCTTCTTCAAGACTTTGGTTGACCAAGAGGTGCATATGAATGGATAAAGACGAGGCGCGCATAGCTAATGGATCCAAGGTTACGGTCGAATTAAAGAACGACATCTTACTTCGGGGCACATTGAAGAGCGTCGACCAATACCTTGTATGAATTGTCTGGGCCTGGGTTCTGCAGCGAAACTGATTCTAGTTGTAGAACATCAAATTGGATCAAATCTCCGTGGTCGACGAACTAAAATACCCACATCTGGTTGGTTGGAGCTTGGAAGGAATATCTATGCATATATGCTAACATGGAATGCGGTAGTCCTCGGTCAAGAACGTCTTCATTAGAGGCAGCGTCGTGAGATATGTTCACTTGCCTGGCAATGCGGTAGACACAGCACTCTTGGAAGATGGTGAGTTACAGATTGCCATTTTTCTACAGCAGATGCTAATGAGTCATGATAGCAACCAGGAGAGAAGCTGCCAATTCAGGAGGAAAAGCCAAATGATTCGCACAACGATCAACAGGAAATCTAGACACTGGGCTTGACCTGGATCCCTTTAGAGCGATCGTAATTTCCAGAGGTTCCGCAAAGCAGATGGACGTGCTTGACATAACGAACGGCATGAACGTTGCACGGATTGGCATTTGAGGTTCGTCATAAATGGACTGATGCAAATCGAAGATGATGGGATGGTATGGTATGGGATTATGGGGCGATGGCACCGGCGTTGAAAAGCGTTTATTACGAGCAATGCCCAATAAAACCTGGCCTCCGGAGCTGACATCCAAGCTATTCGCCTTCTTATCCAAATTATAATGGTGCCCGTTGGAAATTTCAAGCATATCTGCAACGAACAGCAGAACTTTTGTGGCCCGTAGATTGTTGACTTGGTGAGCTGATGTTCCAAGTTAAATACCAGTCAACATATGCTTATCAGAAGTCACCATCTTCAAATTTGACAATGAATTCGGTTATACTTTGGCTACAGTCGCCATCAGATATGAATCTCTCTCCTACTTACCCCGCAATGGAAATGTCCCAGACGAAAAGAACCATGACACTCGATTTTCTTACCAAGAGTCTATTTTTGAAGAACGTGATGATGCATCCATTATCTAGGCATTGTTTGGGTGCATGTTTTCAAGCTGCTTTCTTATTTCTTGAGGACTTAGCTGCCAAGAAGTGAATTCTAGACCGGGATAAAATGAGGCTGAAAGCTCACGTGCCTCCGATAACAACTTCCAAGTTGTTCCTTCTCGCGAACTCCCAAAAATAAATACCACACACGACACCTAGAGGCGCAGTACGACTAATCCGGCTACAACTTGCATACTTGCTCACGAGAACACCTCTGCTGAGATGTTTTTATGAGCCCACCCTCACCAGCAAACCACGCGATTCGCGTCTAGGATTGTTGATTGCCCCTTCGCCGTTTGTTCATTCTGTGCGTTCTCGCCACAATGCCGGTACGTTCTCTTTGTCCTCGAAAGTCAAGAGCATACTTACACAATGATCAAGATTGGAGATCTTCTTGCCCAGATCACTGGGGAACCCAGTCCCACCGAAACTACACATGCCTCGACATTCCTTCCGCCAAAGCGCAAAGCCGACGACCAGTTGCGCAGACCAGTGAACAAGGTACAGAGGACGGAACCCACTACAACTATTCTCAGCAAGCCTGTCCCTAATAACGCTCGATCTCTGTCTGTGGAAGGGCCGCTCTCGAAGATTAAGCTGGGTTCATCTGCTCAGAAGCCAACTGCGTCAGCGACCTTCAAAAATGGACGACCGACACCGCCACTTGCCAACGATGCGCCAAAGGCTCCCCCGAAGAAGGGATCATTTGCAGAGATCATGGCTAGAGGGAAAGCTGCGCAGTCAACTTTAGGGCAGGTGGGAAAGATCCAGCACAAGAAGATTGAGAAGATGCCCAGTAAACGGGAGCGAGAGGAGATGAAGGCCCACAAGTCATCGAATATCGCAAAGAATATGGCTCCTGGTAGCAAATTCAACAAGGCACCTCTTCCTAATGCTCGGGATGGACGTAATGGGGCGAAGGAAAGTGGTAAAAAGGCCCCACCTGAGCCGGAGAAGAAGATTAAGAAGGCAGCTACTGCAACGACTGGGTATGCTGGAACGGCTCGTCCAAAGCCAGGAGGTGCAAAGGGTCCCGCTAGATCTTCAGCATCAGCATCGTCTTCACGCTATGATAGAGGGTCTGATAGAGGTCGATATCGTGATGACAGGCATGGCTCGTCTGCACGTTATGCCTACGTTAGCGAAGAGGAAGAGGATGAGGAAGAAGAGGAGAGAGAATATGACTCTGATGTGTCTTCTGATATGGAAGCTGCTGCATTCGAAGTGGATGAAGAAGAGCAACTCGCTAGTCGAATTGCTCGACGTGAGGATGCCGAAGCTCTTGCCGAGGAGAACAGGTTGAAGCGAGAGAAAGAAGAGAAACGAAGACGACTGGCTGCTATGGCCAAGTCAAGACGCTGACACCAGCAATCAATAATGATAATTTGGTCAATGGACTAGACGAGAGACTGAATATGGGCATTTTGCTCTTGGTGGTTGCTTGCATTTTGCGAGATGGGGCTGGGGGATAGGCATTGTCTGTTAGCGGGTCAAGGCGTCAAATGGTCACCAGCATTGAAGGCGTATATTTCCTTCAGGCTGCAACGCCAGTTGTGAATAGTGTTTCAGTGAGCAATGATATTAGCACCAATACTTGCCATCCCCCCAGAGTGAGCGCTAGTCTTAAGACTTTTAAAAATTTGGGAATTATTCTAAACTTGACAAAGACTTGATTTGATGGTAGATAAATGAATCCTTGATTCTCCTTTGTTCCTTGATCACAAAGCAGTTCCTTCAAGTCCCGCTCTCTTCAACACGTCACAGCTTTTCAACCATATCATGCTTTCATCTCTAAGAAGACATTTCGTTCGTGAACTGATTGGAAACTAGTTCACAATCTTCTGATCTTCTCGTATATTTGTACATTTCCAATATCTCCATCACCTTACTCCTCCTTACTCCCTTACTCTTGCAAAAAGCCTCCACGTTGCCATTCTTGCATCTACCATGAATAGGCATTCATTACAAATCGAAAGGGTGGTCTGTAATAAGGTCATGCGGGATTCCAACTGGACTCCAGAATTTGGAAGTTGGGAAATCTCTTTGAAGCCCAGGGACATTGACAAAAAAAAAAAGGACAAAAATAGAAAACGAAAACTAAACCGGCAAAAACTCTATCAAGAGAAACCCAACTTAATGGGTCTCTATCTATTTAGAGAAACCTAATTTAATAGGTTTTTTGTGGGAAGGAGTTTCTTGGGAGCTACCAGAGCCCATTAGTTTAGGAGGTCATCACGGACCCGAACCATTACACCATCTTGTGGTTCTTGGAATAAGATTCGCTTATTAAAATCTATAGAGGTAGCTAGCTTAGCGGCGACTTTTTATGGGAAGCTAAGAGGAATATATCGCTTGCATTTATGGCAGACAGGATTGATTTTTCTCCAGCATGGGGTATCATAATCAGGCGATCATATTGGTGGAGCTCATGTCTAATAAGATAATGGACTGTGTATATTGTTTTTCATTTTCATTTGCAAGTTTGGCTTTGAGTCACAAAGCAGTCAAGCACCTAAGATTTTCGATGTGCAACAGAAGTTGGCATTGATGTTATCAGGGAGATAAGCCGAGTCACTGCTCTTTCAAGTGCTCTATTCACAACAAAGTCTAAGTGAAGGGTCTGGCAGCAGGTTAATTTTGCTTTGGGAAAGACACCAAATGCCGAATTCTCTGCCTCAGAATGCTACAGCAGATTCTTGGAAGTAGCATAGAAGTGTACTGGCAACATAAAATTCGTACGAGGCAATTCGGCGATAGTCATAAGCAGTAAAAGCAAACGACGCATGTTTGCTCCAAGTACGCCCGCTTGAGCGATGTAAAAGATTTAAAGTCACCGAATCGAGAGTCAACAAAAAACATACAGTCCACATCATACCACAAAACGACAGATGCATAGCAGAAGTAGAAGATCTCATATGTACGGGTATTCATCTCTTCTTCCACTGGTCCGTTATGATGCCTTCTCAGCCAACGCCCTACCCTTCCTCTCTTCCTCATCCGAGTTCAGCTTTTCGTAATGTGCCACCAATTGATCCATATTCCTCGGTCCCTGGCCCGCCGAAACGTTGTGTGGTGCTCCTGTGTTGAAGATTCTATACATCACATCAGCTCTATATCTCCTAGACCCAAGCGTTGAATAAAAGAGAGGGAACATACTCAGGAAACCTCAAGTTAACATGCTTGCTTCCCTGTGAGCTCTGGAACAGATTCCGATCAAAGGCAGCTTGTTCAATAGCAGCAGTATGCAAGGTGTTTCGTGCCACCCATCGCTCCTTGTAGTATGAGTAGCTGTCGATGATCTTTGAAAGGCCTGGGAGTGTTCCATCCGAGGATGGTCGAGAGAATGTGTAGACGCATAGGGTGACGGGGATAGCTGCAAGGACGAAGTAGAAGGCATTCTGTATCTCGTCAGCTTCCAGAGCAAGATTTCAAAGAATCGGAAGAACTCACGCCTAGAGATTCCGCCTTTGGTCCAGCGTGATGGTGGTCATGCTCCGTACTCGATCCCGCGAAATGATGTACCTCATCCCCCGTCTTTCCATGTTGACCTGTCGAATACCGTTTCGTGACTCTGGATATCGAAGCAGGGGCTCGTGCCACGCTTTGAACAGCCTTTCTCCGTAGCTGGAACATTTTGTTGTTACTCAATTGCTCCTTCAACTCATCTTATCCAAAGCTGTGATGTTCGAAAGCGGACCTCGTTCGCACTCTAGCTTAGTCAGCCAAGACGGTGACTACCGGCAGAAATAAACCCTAGTCCAGAAACGAATAACAGCTCAGCTTGTCATCGACCAAATTTCAAGATGGACGGGACCGGACACTTGTCCTCAAAAAATGGCTTCTAGTAATATAGAAGACATCCTCTCTTTCGCTTCTAGTGATAGAGAAGACATCCTCTCTGGGACTATCGACGATAGTGAAGACATCCTCTCTTGGGCTATCGACGATAGTGAAGACGATCTCGAAGACGACACCGAATCTCTTGCATCTTTAGAGACCGACGACGGACAAGATCATCCTCCAGAGAAGGTACTGGCGCAAACCACTTCGAAGAACGGATTTACCTGGTTTTTGGTCAAGTGGCGGGATTGTCCAGTGCTGAGATCAAGTTGGGAAGGAGAATCACTCTTTATACGCTGTCCAGAGATCTATGAAAGCTGGAAGGTGGAGAGGAAGAGACAGGCTGAGGGGAAAAGCCAGCCACTGGAAATTGAGGCTTTCAATAAAGCAGTGAAGAAGCTCGAGACCGCGGAGAGGCAACGAAGGCTCCTACGGAGACTGAAGCGCAAAGTCAATCGTGTCCTTTCTATTGTGACAGATTGAAGGCGACGTGGTCATTCGATCGACTTATAAAGGACATACTCTTGCCAGACAAGCACATACAACTATACATCCATACACGATGGTTCGGATATCGGTTCAAGGCTTATTGGGCCTGGCATGGTTAACATTGCCTCTGGTCGCTCAAGCCATGTCTGCACCAGTTGCGCCTTCACCACTAGCAGATCATGATCTTATCTGTTCCCCAACAGATGTAGCAGACTGCTATCCTCGAGTTTTCCAACCAACGAAAGATTTCCAAGCCATCCGCGAAGGACAAGATCTTCCAGCTGGTCTCCACGTACGGATGGACATATATGCGGGCACGAAAGAAGCCCGACGCAACATCCCAATGGAAGGAGAAGAAGCCGCTGCTGTCGAAGCAGCACTATCAGATCTCCCTGTTGAACAATCGATTGTAGTTGTCGACCAACCAGTAGCCGAAGAAGATACCAAACCCGCCCTCCGAGACCAAGTCCCCATCAACCCTCCAACCTTCGACACAGCAGGCAAAATTCTCCCTCCTCCACCTTCCGCAGACGGAACCGAGATGGGTACATTCCAAAAAGCAATGTTAGCCGTTAAAATGGACGCACGAGCCTTTGACACCGCGCTCGATGATCTTATGGAACTCTCACACGACATCTACTACGGTCTCGAAATCGCCAAAGACGGTCCCATTGTCGAGAAATTGATCTGTCTCACCTTAGGAAGTGGGTCCGAGAAGATTCCAGCAGGAAAAGCAGGACGAGAGCATAAAGCTGCCTCGATCCTCGCCAGCTCAGTACAAAACAATCCCACTGCATTGAAAGAAATCGTGAAATGGGGAAGAATGGTCTTCCACCCAATCTGTTCGGAAGCGAAAAAAGGCGAGAAGCCCAATTTCGTAACAACGCTTCGTACTAGACTTGGTCGAGAAAAAGACGCCGGGGCTCTGAAAGCTAAAGTTGGGGCAATAAGCGGTCTTCTCCACGATGAGAGCTTTCGTACCCAATTCCTCGAGAATTCGGGCATGGAGTTACTGCTTGCCATCTTTCTGAAGAAAGGAGAGGACTTTGATCCCGTTCGGAGGAAAGTGGCTCAACTTGTCACAGACAATTTCCTCGATGAGGGGATGGGTGCCAAGGTGGGCGTTTGGCCGAAGATGCCCGTTACAGAAGCGAAGGTTTGCAAGGAGAATAAGGAGAGGATGTTAGAGGATGGATGCTGGGAGTACCATGTTGGTGCTTTTGGGGAGCAGAAGGGGAAGTTGGCGTGGGTGAAGGAGTTTGAAGTGTTGTTGACAGAGCAGAGGGAGAAATTTGGGGATTCGATTTTGGATCGGGAGTTGTGAACTAGGTCGCTAGAGAGCTTATTTTGCATGAATTCGTTGCGCGTATATCATTTGCGGCTTTTAGAATGCATTATAATCTTTTTCCTTACGAACATGGGGACAAAAGTCCGTGCGTTCAGGGCATCAGAATCATGAATTTTATTAATTAATTAGCTGTAGACCAGCCACATCGCTTAATTAAGTCGTGTACCCAGAAGTCCTGCTGCTCAATAAGCCCATTGATCCATTCCTGAGGAA